CAAGGAGGAGCTAAAATGAAATCATAGCTCTAAGTATAAGAGCTAGACCCAAACTATTTCTTTTTTCTTTTTTTTTTAAGTTTTTAACATTTATTTTTCAGAGAGAGGAACATTCGAGCAGGGGAGGAAGGGAAAGGGAGAGAGAGGGGGGAGGGAGGGAGAGCGTGGGTGAGCACCAGAGGATCCAAAGCAGGCACTGCGCTCACAGCTGACAGCAGGACTCAAACTCACAAGCTGGGAGGTCATGACCTGAGCCAAAATCCCGAGTTGAACGCTCAACTGGGTAAGCCATCCCGGAGTTTTCTTTTTTTTTTTTTTTTAAATTTTTTTTTTTATTTTTTATTTATTTCTAGGAGAGAGAGAGAGAGACAGCATGAGCAGGGGAGGGTCAGAGAGAGAGGGAGTCACAGACTGAAACAGGCTCCAGGCTCTGAGCTGGCAGTCAGCACAGAGCCCGACGCGGGGCTCGAACCAACGAACCGCGAGATCATGACCTAAGCGAAAGTCGGACGTTTAACCGACTAAGCCACCCAAGCGCCCCTATCCCGGAGTTTTCTAAACACGAAGTGCACAAACTACAGAAGGAAAAATGCGTATATTGCGTTTCATCAAAATCAAGAACTTTGAGGGGCACCTGGTGGCTCAGCCAGTTGAGCGTCCAACTTCAGCTCCAGCCACGATCTCCGGGTTCATGACTTTGGGCCCCACATCGCGTTCTCTGTTGTCAGCACGGAACCTGCTTCGCATTCTCTGTCCCTCCCCTCCGCCCCCCCACCCCATCCCTCCTCCACTTGTGCTCTTTCAAAAAATAAACAAAGCGTTAAAAAAATTAAGGACTTTTGTCCTTCAAAATATACTGTATTTTACTGTATGCAAATTTGTTTTTACTTTAGAGAGAGACAGAGAGAGAATAAGCAAGCAAGCGTGGGGGGAGGGGCAGAGGAGGAGAGAGAATCCCAGCAGGCTCCACGCTCAGTGTAGAGCCGGATGCGGGGCTCAACCCCACGACCTTGGGATCACAACCTGAGGCAAAATCAAGAGTTGGACACTCAACCAACTGGGCCACCCAGGGGCCCCAGGGGCCCCAGACTATGTGCAAATTTAAAACAAGCTTTAAAGGAAAGAGTTACAAGAAGGGACAAGCTCATCACAGACTGGAAGAACACAGTTACAAAAACACATCTGACAGAGAAACTCCATTTACAATACACAAAGGACACTTACAATAACTTAATTAATCGTAAGTAATTATATCTAATTAAAAATAGGGGCCAAAAGACCCGAACAAGCACTTCACTGAGAGGACTCATGCGCGGCAAACAGGCTCATTGACAAGGCTCAGCACGACTCACCAGCGATGCGCCGATCAGACCCCAGTCGGAGATCACTGCACACAGGGCCCCAGTTACAGTGACAAAGCCTGACCCACCACTGTGCGGGCTGGAGGGCACGGCCACGGGAACTCCCACACGCTGCTGGTGGGAACGCAGCGCCGTAAAACCCCGCCGGAAAATGGCCTGCCGCTCCCCGTGTGGTTAAACACACACGTGGCACACGACACCGGGGTCGGCGGAGAAAAACAGGAACCTCCGTCTGCATGAAGTCTCGGGCGCGAATGCTCACGGCAGCTTTAGCAAAGCAGACACACAAATGACCCACAGACTGAAACACGACTCAGCAATGAAAAGGAACATGCCACCGACCTGCAGGGCACGGATCAGCCTCAGGGGACCGTGCGGAGTGGAAGAAGTCAGACAAGAAAAGCAATCGGCGTGTAGGATTCCATTTGGACAGAATTCCAGAAGACGGAACTG